GTCTGGACCGCAGTGTTCGACTACGAGGCGGCGGGCGACGAGGAGTTGACCCTGCGGAGGGGCGACCGCGTGCAGGTGCTTTCCCAGGACTGTGCCGTGTCTGGCGACGAGGGCTGGTGGACCGGGCGGGCCTCCAGCTGCCGCAGGAGATCCCCTTCCACGAGCTGCAGCTGGAGGAGATCATCGGCGTGGGGGGCTTCGGCAAAGTCTACCGGGCCCTGTGGCAAGGCGAGGAGGTGGCCGTCAAGGCCGCCCGCCTGGACCCTGAGCGGGACCCGGCTGTGACAGCAGAGCAGGTGCGCCAGGAGGCCCGGCTCTTCGGAGCGTTGCGGCACCCCAATATCATTGCCCTTCGGGGCGCCTGCCTCAGCCCCCCACACCTCTGCCTGGTCATGGAATATGCCAGAGGGGGCGCACTGAGCAGGGTGCTGGCCGGTCGCCGGGTGCCCCCTCACGTACTCGTCAACTGGGCCGTGCAGGTGGCCCGGGGCATGAACTACCTTCACAACGATGCCCCCGTGCCCATCATCCACCGGGACCTCAAGTCCATCAACAGTAAGTGTCTTGTCTCCTCCCACTCCCGCCTGGCAGCTGGGCAACTGGGGATGGGGCAACCAGAAGATCACATGGGTGTGGAAGAGGCCTCAGCCTACCCCCGGGGCTTGTGAGATAGGTGTTGCCCACAATGGGGAGGCTGGGGAGACCGCCCTTTCCTGCCTCTCCTTTTTGGCCTCCTTGGCTCTATAAAATCACTGGAGTGCCAAATCCAAACCAAATCACTGCCGTTGAGCCCATGCCAACTCATGCGGATCCTACGGACAGTGTAGAACTGCCCCTGTGAGTTTCCAAGACTGTAACTCTTTACAGGAGCAGAAAGCCTCTTCTTCCTCCCTGGAAGCAGCTGGTGGTTTCCAACCGCTAACTCAGTAAATCCTTGTTGGAGAATCCCATGCCAGTCCTCCATGTGCTCACCATCCCACCCATGAAGCCAGTGCCCCGACCAGGACAAGCAGAGGCTAGTCCTCCTGGACACTGCCCTGTGCACTGAAGGTGGTTTGGCTGCATCCTAGGCCTCGGCCCCACTGGCTGCCATTCGCATCCTTCCGGCCCCCAGCCATGTCTGTGCCAGACTTCCAAGTGCAGGGTACAGTCAACTCAGTTGAGAACCACTTCCTGCAGTCCTCAGAGTCTCTGTGCCAATTGGAGGTGAGGGAGGGGGGCATGGGTTGTGGGAGGGGCACTGGGCGGAGCCCACTAGGCTGCCCGCCTTGTGGCCAGCTCTCCAGAGATGACTGGTGGGTTGACTGAAGAAACAATTGAATGAATCCAAGAGACCAAATGGAAGAGAAGCGTCCCCTGAGCCCAGCTCTGGATCCAGGTGCTGCTCGGTCAGTCAGCCAATGGCAGTCATTGAGGCCTGGTGGCTCAAGGGGTTAAGCTCTTGATGGCTCACCATGAGGTTGGCCGTGAGAAGCCACCAGCCCATGTGCCCTGGTGTTCCCGTAAACAGCGCAGCCCTGGAAACCCTATGACGGGGCCATTCTTGGTCCTACTTGGGTCCCCATGAGTCAGCGTGGAGGCGATGGCAGTGAGCTCGGACATTTCAGGGTTTTCTGTTTTTATTTTCGGTGAATCAGGAGCCTCTTGGAGACCAGGACAGCCACAGTCTCTGCCCTGACAAACCGCATCAACCAGAAACACCCTTCGTTCGCTTGTATGTCCAGAGTGCCTGCTATGCCGGAGCGCTCTTGGCATAGTGGTTACGAGTTGGGCTGCTAACCACAAGGTCAGCAGTTCGAAACCACCAGCCGCTCCTCGGGAGAAAGATGAGGCTTCCGACTTCCCTCAGAGAGGATTGCTAGGTCTTTTCTCCCGCGAAACTGGTGCTTTGGAACCAGTCCTCTTTCAGTTGCTGGCTGACTGCTTAACCACTGCACCCAGGTTGTAAAAACCCCTTGACATCGAGCCAGTACCGACTCACAGTAACCCTACAGGCCAGGATAGAACTTCCCCCGCTCCAAGAGTTTCCAAGGTTGGAATCTTTGGGGAAGCAGACTGCCTCATCTTTTTCCCACAGAGCAGCTGGTGGACTCGAACTGCCAACCTTTCACTTAGAGTGCTCAGCCATGGCCCCAGCAAGCTTTAATGCCCCCTAAATGCCAGGTGGATGGAGGCAGGCCCCACACCCCCACCCAACCTGCCCCTTTTGAAGGCTGGGACACCTTTCTCACCCCTGTTGATTCACAGCCAACTGGTGGGGTCCAGCAACGCCCCTGCAACAGGGGCTGGTGAGTAATGGGACGAAACAGAACACGCAGCTCTCCACAGTCACTATCGCCCACGGAGCCACTGGCTGATGCCTCTCAGGCATTGACTGAGGCTTCCGGCAAGTCTTAGACACCGGGGTGACAGACATACAGACAAGGCATGATCCTCATGATGTCGCTTTGCCTCCTGGGCCCAGCAGGCCATCTTGGGGTGGTGCCAGAAACCCAAGCCGCCTGTGAGATCCACGGCCTGTGCTCGGCCACTCCCACCTCACTTGTCTGCTAAGACCATGGTCAGCCCAACGTCGAAGCCTGGGGAAGCCCACTCTGCCCTTTGGCACGAGGCTCTGCAGTCACGTGGCAGAGATGGGAGGGAGGGCCCTAGAAAGAGGAAGGAATTGGGGCCGAACCTCTGTTCTGGGTGAGGGGGGTGAGGGCTGTGATGAAGACGCAGGTTAAGCGCAGCCCTCCGCACAGTTTGTACTTCCTACCAAGGCCCTGACCAGAGACCCTGCTGGAGCCCTGAGTGCAGGGGACCCCGGGCAGGAAGGTGCTGAGGCAGAACAGGGAGAGGGCGAGTGGGACGTGCGGGGCCACAGGTGACCCCCCCTGCGCTCCCTGCACAGTCCTCATCCTGGAGGCCCTCGCGGACCACAGCCTCACAGACACGGTGCTCAAGATCACGGACTTCGGCCTTGCCCGCGAGTGGCACAAGACCACCAAGATGAGCGCCGCGGGCACCTACGCCTGGATGGCCCCCGAGGTTATCCGTCTCTCCCTCTTCTCCAAGAGCAGCGACGTCTGGAGGTGCTGAAGGGTGGGGGCCGGGCAGTCTGTGGGGTGGGGCCGGGGCGGGCGGGGTCTCCCACCCAAGCCCAGGGTCTGGCTGGCTGCCCCATCAGGCCAGCATGCTACGGTGACCAAAGGAAAAGAGCCATCCCCGAAAGAGAGAGAGAGAGAGAGAGAGAGAGGTTGGCCGCATTCAAGGCCCCGCAGAAACCACCCAGGACGCTGCCCCTGTTTGTCAAACCGGAAAACTGGAACCTTTAGAGGCAGCCGTGCATTGGCTTATTCACCCACCCACCCACCTGTGCGGGCACAACAGTGAGCAAATGCAGATACTCTCCCTGCCCTCGAGGCTGGCAAGTGCACACATCCACAAGGCAAGGCAAAAGACTGCCCTCTCCCACCCCCCCTTTTAATCAAAATTTTGAAAGACAGAAGGCAAGACCTGGGAAAGTAGTGGAGGAAGGAGGAGGAGGTTGGAGAGGCCTGGCGGCTACTCTGGGAAGGAGGCGCACACCACCATTTCCCTCTGGCCTGTATGACCTGGACTCCCAAGGTCACTGCACAGTCCAAAATGGCTGCCGGAGGGCCAGCCTCTGTGATCATATCCAACCAGCTGGTTCCGACTGGTCCGAAGGAGGAGAAGGTACTCCTTACAGGACACTTCCTAGAAGTTAGTTGAACCCTAACTCCTCTTCTTCCTCCTCCTCCTCTTCCATTCCATCAGCCAGCCAGTACTCGAATGGCCACAGGCCAGGGAGGAGGGACAACTCCTTCCAGCAGTGTAAATTCACCAGTGCTCTTCCGGGCCAAGGCAGGAGCTGCATCTCTAGTTCACTGCCATGCCTCCAGGGCTTGGCACACAGTAGGGTGTGTGGCTATGGAATGAATGAATGGGTAGGACGTTGCAGGGTCAAGAACCTGCAGATGGCTGGCACCAAACAAAGTGGTTGGAGGGAGCCAGCAGGACGCCGTGCCCTGGGGCCGGCTGTAACACAGCACTGCAGTCAGGACTGCGCCCTTCACGGCCTCTCCTGGACGTCGGGCAGCCCCAGAGTCCAGTCGTGGCTCCAGCCCTCGCTCGCCGTGTGACCTCGGGTACTCAGCTGACCCTCTCTGAGCCGACACCTGCTCACCCCACACAGCGGGCCGTAGAGTACCTCCTGCCTCCCAGGCTCTTGTGAGGCTTCCCCAGGGTGCCCAGAAGGGGCCTGTCCTGGAGTCAGTGCCTGGTAGGTCTTAGAGGGCAGTAAGCTGCCAGGGCCACAGGGTTGAGGAGCAGGGGCCCCTGGCCCAGCTTTGGCGCTTGTGGAATGAAGGAGGCCTCCCTGTTGGAGTGGGCTCTTGAATTGAGTCTTGAAGAGCAAATAGGTGCCCAAAGGGGTGAGTGTTGTAGATGAAGTCCACAGCCTGCAAAGCCAAGTAGGGAGGAAGTCCAGGGCTCAGCCAGGAGTGTAGGGTGGAGTAGGGACCAGCCCAGGGACTGAGAAGGTAGCATTGCCCGGTGGGCATGGCACAGGAATGAAAGTTTTCGGGCAAGGGGTGAGAGAAGAGAGCCTGCTACGCCCCACCTTGTGAACTGCTGAAGGTTAAGTCAGGGTCTTATGGTCTCTTCCACCAAGGGCGGGCTTTGTCTGGGGTGGGGGCAAGGCTGGGGGAGGTGGACCATCCCCCTCCCTGTCTCCATTTGCAGCTTCGGGGTGCTGCTCTGGGAGCTGCTGACAGGGGAGGTCCCTTACCATGAAATCGATGCCTTGGCTGTGGCGTATGGCGTGGCTATGAACAAGCTGACGCTGCCCATCCCCTCCACGTGCCCCGAGCCCTTTGCCCGCCTGCTGGAGGGTAAGCCAGGGCCCCATGGTGAGGGTGGGCCCAGCTGGGGGTAGCAGGGGTCCTCCAGCGCAGACCTCTTACCTTCACGCCGAGCTCTACCAGTGACCCCAGAGTGGAGAGAAAGGGTGCTGGAAGCCATAAAGAATGCCTCTCACCCCTGCACCCCCCACTCACAACCAGCTCTTGTTTTGGCCCACAGCTCTTGAGAACACAGCAAGGGCCAATGGCCCTGGGGTCCCCACAGCCTCTGATTCTCCCCCCCCCCAGCCCCTCCAGGGGAGTAGTTTGAAGTCTGCTGTCTCCCCTGAGGAGGCCGGTTCCCAGCCCGGCCTCTGGCAACTCCAGCCCCTCCCACTGCCCTCCCTCCCTCTTCACCTCCACCCCAGAATGCTGGGACTCCGACCCCCACGGGCGGCCGGACTTCGGCAGCATCCTGAAGCAGCTTGAAGTCATTGAGCAGTCAGCCCTATTCCAGATGCCCCTGGAGTCCTTCCACTCGCTGCAGGAAGACTGGAAGCTGGAGGTCCAGCACATGTTCGACGACCTCCGAACCAAAGAGAAGGTGGGGGCCCAGGCAGGCTGGGGGTGGGGGTGGGGTGGGGAAGCAAGAGCCCCGGCTCTGGTGCGTCAGAGCCCCTCCCCCAAGCTCCAGCCTGGCACCCCACACAGGGCCCACCCCGTGTGGAGAGACAGCTTCCTAAGGGACCCCGAGGCGAACTGTGACGGCAGAAATGAGGGAGGGAAGGGAGGGTTGCCACGTTCGATGCTGGTTGAGGTTGGACGCAGCGGTATGGGTGGGCTCTCCCTTCTCTCTCCACTCCTAGGTAAGGTTTTCCTACACGAAGAAGTTTAAACCTTAAAAATCAAGGGGGAGGCTGGTGGACAGAAAAGGGACTCCCCTCTTCAGAGTAGCACGGGGCCTTGGCCCAGACACCCCATTTGGCTAGCCAAGTGTGGGCCGGCTGGACTCTGGCCCCACAGCAGGCCGCCCTCGTGCCAAGCACCGCATGGTGCCCGTTTCCAGGGGCCCCGGTCACTCCGCCCTCCCCGCCCCCACACCCACCCCGGGCCCTTTCCCATGTGCCCATGGGGGGCATCTCCGCAGGCGCTCCGGAGCCGAGAGGAGGAGCTGCTGCGGGCGGCGCAGGAGCAGCGCTTCCAGGAGGAGCAGCTGCGGCGGCGGGAGCAGGAGCTGGCCGAGCGCGAGATGGACATCGTGGAGCGGGAGCTGCACCTGCTCATGTGCCAGCTCAGCCAGGAGAAGCCGCGCGTGCGCAAGCGCAAGGGCCACTTCAAGCGCAGCCGCCTGCTCAAGCTGCGCGAAGGCAGCAGCCGAATCAGCCTGCCCTCCGGTACGGCCGCTCCGGCCCCTCTCTCTCCCTTGCCTGGCTTTGGCGGGGAGGGGTTGGTGGTGGTGGCGGTGACTTTCGCGCTCATTCCGATTCAGAAATGACCACCGAAACGTACAACATGGTAAATTATTAGGGTCACACCCCCCATGAAGACGGAGGACGGCTACAGCAGATGCCCCCCCCCCCATGCCCCTTCTCAAACACCCCTCCCCTGTTTTTCAGTCCCCAATGTCCCCTTTGAAGGTAGTTTGCTCTCTGGCATCTCTCTGTAGTTTTCTCACCCAATTTTTAAAATTTCCTTTAATCTTTCCGTTCGCTGGCCTTTCCAAACCCTGACTGGTGGCACAGAGGGGGAGTGGGTCCTGTGTTGGGCAGCATTTCGGACCCACCAGCCACTCCCCAGGGAGAAAGAGGAGGCTTTCTACTCCTGTAAAGAGTGACAGTCTTGGAAACCCTGGGAGGGGGGGGTCCGCTAGGACTCGGCATCGACAGGGTGGCAGTGAGTGAGCCTGGCCCCATCGTGGGCTGGGCATTGGGCTGCTAGCCGCAAAGCCAGCAGTTCAAACCCACCAGGCGCCCTCTGGGAGAAAGAAGAGGCTGTCTTCGCCCTTGCAGGTTGGAAGCACCCTCTAAGGATCCGCTGCAGTGACAGTCATGCATTGAGGAAACGCTTTGCTGGCCCAGGTGCAAGCCGGTGTAGCTGCTCCAGGCTTAGTTAGTGCGGCTATCTCACCGAGTGGGGGGGCGGGGGTCCTAAGGAGTGGAAGCTTACTCTCTCACAGTTTAGAGCAGTGGTTCTCAACCTTCCTCATGCCGCGACCCTTGAATACAGTTCTTCATGTAGTGGTGACCCCCAAACCATCAAGTTATTTTCGTTGCTACTTCGTCACTGTCGTTTTGCTTCTGTTGTGAATCAGAGGACACTGGTGACAAGGTCCTTCGACCCCCCCCAAAGGGCTCAAGACCCACAGGTTGAGAACTGCTGGTTTAGAGAGGGGGAGGCGAGGCTTTCTCTTAGGAGCTTCTGTTTCTTGGGGGTCTCAGGTGGAGTGGTGCATTTGGTCCCCTGTCTGTGCTCACTTGTGCCTGCCTCCTTATGTCACAGAGAAGCCAGTCCCAAATTTTATAACCATGTAGGGGCTACCGTGGATCTCACATATTTGGGGGCAGGGGGCTCCTCAGCTCGCCCAGGTCCCCCCACCGTCAGGCGTAATAGGTTAGACCCCGGGGCCCTGAATGACATTCTGACCCATGGCCAACCGTATGTGTCCTCGTAGGACTGCGAGTGCTCAGCCAGGCCGGGCTCTGACCTTTGTGTCCCAGTAGAACTGGGTGTGCTCAGCCTTGCCCGCCTATGACCTCTGGGCACCAGATTGCCAGGACTTGTCCTCCAAAGTGCCTCTAGGTGGATTCAAACCAACAACCTTCTGGTTAATCATGTTAACTGTCTGCACCACCTGGGGAATCTGATATTAGAATAGCCAAACCCACTGCCATCCTGTCAATTCTGACTCAGAGCAACCTTATAGGACAGGGTAGAACTGCCCTGTGGGTTTCCAAACCTGTAGCATTTTATGGGAGTAGCAAACCTCCACTTTCTCCCATGGAGCAGCTGGTGGTTTCAAACTCCTGACCACAGGGTTGACAGCTCAATGCATAACCCACTAGGCCACCTGTGAACGTGTTGATGCTCTTGATACAAGTGATGTGTGGATTATTGTAAGAGCCCCCAATAAATGATTTATTAAAATTAAACATTTTTTATAAGAAAAATGACCTAACAAGAAAAAAGAAAGTGCTGATGCTCAGCCCCTCCTGGTCTTATCAAAGCAGCTTTTTGGACTTGGAGCAGCTTAATCAACCAGAGTCCATTGTCAAGTCCAGTTGGAATGCATAGCAGCCCCCGAGGGCAGGGGAGAGCTGCTCCCTAAGGGTCTGAGGCTGGCCACCTCTGTGGGGGCAGATAGCCTCATATCTGTTCCCTGGGGCAGCTGGTAGGTTTAACCACTGACTTGCAGCCCAAGGTTTAAGCCACCATGCACCCCCAGGGCTCCTTGGCTCAACCTAACAGCCAGACTTAATTCCGTTCAGGCTCTTCGGGTTTTTCTGGAAAGGCTGTGTCCTGGGTGTGTGTGTGTTCCTCTTCAGTGACCCCAGATGTGGGCTGCTCTCTGCGATGCTATAAGCCATCGATGTTTGGTGTCTGCAGCTGCGCTGCTGTGGTTGTGCCAGGAACCACATTTTTAAAATGATGAAGAAACGGAGGAAGTTCATTCTGGGGAGATCTTTTATTTACCCCAGTGTACCCCAAATATGATCTGTTCACAAGCACTCCAACGCCAAGAAAATTCACTGCTGCAACCTTTCACCGTTTGTTTTTTTTCCCCCAAATGAAATCCCTGAACTCCATTGCTTATTGACAGTCTGTCTCCACCCAGTGTCAGACATCCCTGAGCTGAATTCTGATTGGTAACTTGGTAGAAAGAGGAGCGCTAGGGGTCAGGTTGATCCAAGCTGGTCCAGAGACATCGAAATGCCTTCAGTAGCTGTTGGTGTTCCCTCTAAATGTAAATTAGCTTTGCAATTCAATAAAACGGAAAGTCTAGCCTTTGGTTGGTAGGGGGGCACACCAGCCGGACTCTGGGGCTCAGTGGCCATGGGCCCTTGGGCTCTTACGGGACCCTCAGGCCTAGCTCCTTGGGCCCTCAGGTGCGGCTTCTCTGACTTGCACGTCACTTGGGCTCCCAGGGCACATGGGACCACTCACCCCAGGGTTGCTGGTTCAGGTGGGTCCTGGGGCTTGACATTTCCAATGGGTATTTGGTGTGGGGTACCGATGCTGAGGGGGGTTTGCACATTGTGACTTGTGTCTGAGTGCCACTCTGCCTCCTGGGCTGGGTTGACAAAGGCCTCCTCTCTGTTCCATAGGCTTTGAGCATAAGATCACCGTGCAGGCCTCCCCGACTCTGGAGAAGCGAAAAGGATCCAATGGGGCCAGCCCCCCGGCCAGCCCCAGCATCATCCCCCGGCTAAGGGCCATTCGCTGTAAGTGCCACCCCCCCAGCCCCAGCCCCTGGCAGAGGGCCATTCTCTGTCCCCATCCCCATCCCCCCAGCCACGCGGCTTCTCTGAGCCCAGGCCTCTCAGAGGGCTGCGTTAGGATGGGAACTCGAGGTCACACATGTCATCCCTGCCTTCTCGTGTCTCGTGGGGGCCTGGAAGTGGGGTGGCTAGTAAACAAGCAGAGCTAGAAAGCCAGGGCAGGCAGGGCCATATAGGCCTCTCCCCAGAGGGGAGTCTTGAGCGGTCCCTGCTTGGTCAGGAGCGAGTTCGCAGAGGGAACAGCACAGGCAGGGGCATTGAGGTAGAAACAGGCCCATCGCCAGGAAGGGCAGTGACTTGGCTGGAGCAGAGTGGGGGTGGTGGTGGCAGGGGGGGGTCCTGGACTTGAGCTCAGAGGGACGGGATCTCAGCAGGCCTTGTGAGCAGAGGTGAGGGTTGGGGGAAGAGGGGTTTGGGTTTCCTGAGGGCCCTGAGCGAGGAAGTGAAGCCTGCTGATGTCCCTTTCCCTCTGGCTGCCCGGCAGCGTGCAGAGGGGAAGAGGGACCAGTGGGTTGATGGCCCCACCAGAGAGGGGGTCTCCGAGGGAGAGAACGGCTGTGGGAGTGAGTGCCCTAGCAGAGGGGAGGCTCCTAGGGGTTGGTGATGGGCTGAAGGAAGCCAGGATGGCTCCCATCACTCACCCCTGGCCTGAACCGCCCCTGCCCGCACATCTCAGCCTGGCCAGCTGGGGAGGGGTGCAGCCTAGGGGGGAGGGAGCCCCAGGTCAAGGGAACAGCCTGCGCAAAAGCTTGAAGGTGGGAAGGCACCTGCCTGGGAATAGCCTGCAGTAAGTGCCTTAACCTGGGCTGTGTCTCACCAAGCACTGCTGCAGGGCCCCTCCCCTCCACGCCCCGGGCTCTGCTGGCCCCTCCCCTCCACGCCCCGGGCTCTGCTGGCCCCTCCCCCCCATGCTCCGGGCTCTGTTCTGGCCTCACATGAAGAGACTGCCCCCTCACTTCCAAGATGACCTCCAGTATGAGCCTTCCCTGAAGCCCCTGACCCCTCACCTGACCAGTCTAACACCCTGCATCATTCACGCCCCTCTCCTGTTCAATGAACTCTTACTGCCTGCTCCAACCAGCCCCCACCCCGCCAGTGGCCCTCCCGTCGGAGGAGAGGCACTGTCTCAGGGTTTGAGGCTCTGGTAGGGGCAGGCAGCGCCCTGTAGGTTTGAGCCTCGCCTAACCCCTGGTGTCACCAGGGCCCTGAGGGTGTCTCTCTGAGCGGGACACCCTCAGGGCAGGGGCTTTTGTCTGTCTTGGTCCCTGCGTCCCCTGCTCACCTATTAGCCTGCTTAGTGGGGAGGGGGCAGGGAAGGAGAAGCCAGCAGAGTGGTCATCCAGGCCAACCCCGGTGGCTCCCACAGTGACAGTGGCCGTTTGGGAATAAGTGAAGGGTGGTAGGTTAGGCTGAGTGTGGTGTGTCTGTGAATGTGTGTGTGTGGTAGGGCAGCTGCTGGGGCTGTGGGGGGGGCTTTACTGGAGGGGAGGGGGCGGGGCTGCTGGCAGGGAGGGGCATGGTGGGAGCTAAAAAGGAGCCAGGTTGGGGAGGGTGGGCGCCCTCCAAGAAAGTGACATCTGGGGGCCAAGTGTGTGTGTGTGGGGTGCTCTCCAAGACCCAGTAACCACGTGGCCTTTTTTCCTGGCCCAGTGACTCCCGTGGACCGGGGCGGCGGGACCTGGGGCCGCAGTGGGCCCCCAAAGACGGAAGAGCTGGTTGGAAGCAAGAAGAAGGGCCGGACCTGGGGGCCCAGCTCGACGCTGCAGAAGGAACGGGGCGGCGGAGAGGAGAGGTAAGGCAGCAGCTGGGGGGGTGCCCTCCTCCCGCCCCCCCACAACTGATGCCTCACCCCCCGTGCCCGGGCGCCCCTGCAGGCTGAAGACGTTGGGGGAAGGCAGCAAACAGTGGTCGTCCAGCGCCCCCAACCTGGGCAAGTCCCCCAAACACACACCCATCGCCCCCGGCTTTGCCAGCCTCAACGAGATGGGTAAGGGGTGTGAGAGCCTGTTGGTGGGGGGTGGGGAATGGCATGCCCTAGGGCTGGTGGGGTCAGGATTTCACAGGAAGAGGATTGGGGGCTGCAGGGGGCGGGGAGAGGTTTC